TTCCTAAAAACACATAAATTAATAAACTAATACCATATGAAATAGAAATTGTCAAATGACTTCAAATTAAGTACCAATTGAATTGGTAATTCACAAACTTTCAACAAAGACAATTCTAAGACTAGATACCCACACTTGTGTTTTTTACCAAACAAGTATAAAAGGACTAATTTTTCCAAAATAGAAAAGAGACCGTTTCTGTTTATTTTATGAGACAATGGTTATCCTGATACCAAGGTCATACTTACCAGAAAAAACTGAAGACTAATATCCCTTATAAATATAGACACAAAAATTCTCAATAGGGATGGACATAATGTAGGTTAAGCCATCATATGAGATAGGAACATCCTATATCACACACTGATTGAGTCATGACTGTTCTGTTTTCTATCCTGCTTTCTGCTAATGCACCTGGCAAGGCAATGGGAGATGACCCAAGTACTTGGGTTCTTGATATCCACATGGAAGACCCAGATGGTGTTTCTGACTCCTGGCTTCGATCTTGCTCAGTTTTGGCTTTTGTGGACATTTGGGGAGTGAACCAGGGGCTAGAAGAGCTCTTTCTGATTGTTTTCCTTTTCATAGTGAAATCGTAAAAAGAAAATAGATTATCAAGAAATTAAATCAAACAGCATGTTAAAAAAATTATACACTGTGACTAAGTGAGGTTCATCCCAGGAATGTTAAGGTGATTGAAAATAAGAAAATGAGTTAATAGAATATACAATATTCATAGAAAGAAGGGAGAACAATCACATGATTGTCTCAATAGAGGCAAAAAAATGTTTTTCTGAAAATCCCCTCAGCACTTTTTTGTAATAAGGCTCTTCAAAGCAGGAAGGAAGCTTCCTTGACATTCTATAAATCAGTGTAGAAGTGTATTTGCTGCATTAATTTAAAAAAAGTTAAATGAAACCCTTTGAAATATTTGGTAATGTTTTTCATTTATTCCTTGGCAGCTTTTTTTTTCATAAATGTCTTTGGTGACCACATGTTTTTCTTATTTTGTTTTTCTAATAATTTGTATTTGTGTAGATCTTGCTGCTGCTTTTGTTATTTTTGAATGATTTTTTTTCTATTTTTCCTTCCTTTTTAGGATTTTATATATTGGCAGCCCTGGGTAGCCATTGTCTTCCAAATTATGCTAACTTCCTTTATGAAAAAGTTTGCATGTATGAATTTTAAAAGATTGTGTCTCTCTTCAGCCATTTCATGAAGATGGGCTGCTACAGGGCTGTTCACAGTGCAGTCTTACTAATTTTTTCCTCCTCCAAACTGGCAATATAAATCCCTTCTCTAGTTCTTGTTCCTTTTTTTTTTGTTGTTGTTGCAAATGCTGAATTTACCTTTCTTGAAAAAACAGACCCACCCACTAGAGTTATGAAGCTTCATTCTTTAATGTTTTACTTTCTCTAGAATAAATTTTCTCTCCTTTTGATACATGTTCTGTTTATACTGTAGTATTATTTTTAGAATATTTTCACCTACTTGAAAGAGTGTTAGGGAGAAAGAGTGAGATGGAGGTAGAAATGTTGAGACATTTTTCATCCAGTGGTTTGCACCAAGTGGCTGCAACAATCAGAGCTGGATCTGACTAAAGCCAAGAGCCCATGACTCCTAGGTCTTCCACATGGGCAGCAGGGGTCAAGGAACCTGCTTGAGCAAGGAACCCCAGGGGCCCCTTGGCTACTAGAATTGGAAGCAGAGCATCCAAAACTCAAACCTGCACTCTGATATGGGATGGGGTGGTTCTAAATAGTGGTTCAACTTGCTGTAGCACAATATCTGTTCCCCATTTACACTTTATAAGTCGTCTAGTCTTCCTGGAGATCATGTTCATATTTATGTTTTTTACTTTTTTTTCTCCCTTCTAGTGATTTCTGGGGTAATAAGAGGAAGATGAATTTTTTCCTGTCACTTAAGACTGGAAGTACTTAAAATATATTTTTTTTGGTTAGTGCTTTACATATTCATTTAATAAAAATAATTGAATAGTAGATACATCTACTTAAGTCCTTTGCCTGTTATTGAATCATGTTACTTTGTTAATGAGTTTTAGACATCATCTGCATATTCTGTTAATTCCTTATCACATTTAGAATTTTCAATTTTCTCTCATTCTGTTTACTGTGTTGTTAGTATCCATTGATACCCAATTTTTCTTTTGTTCTCTGTGCCTGTGTGTTTAGTTTTATATTACAGAAGTTATTGCAAAATCTAGTGTCATTAAACTTAGCCTTATGTTCCTGTCTTTTTTTACAAAAATTATATACAAGGGAGAGAGAGAGAAAGAGGAAGAGGTGAGGGGAGAGAGGGAGAGAAAGAGCATGAGCAAGAGTGAGAGTGAGAGCAAGTGCTTCCATATCTGCTGGCTCATTCCTCCAAAGCCTGTAACAGCTGACCCAGGAAACCAGTCTGGATCCATCTCCCAGTTGGGTGGTAGGAACTCATTTATTTGAACCAGTACCTCCTGCCTCTCAGGGTGTGCATTAGCAAGAAGCTGGAATTGGAAACAAGGCCAGGGAAGAAATTCAGGTACTGTATTATAGGATGTGTGTGTCCCAAGCAAGTTCTTAACCTCTGCACCAAACAACTGTGTTTTCTTCTAAGATAGTTATAACTTATAGATCTTACATTTGGGTTCTGCATTCCATTTTGGATTAATCCTCATATGCGGTGTTAGGGTCTAACTTCGTTCTTTTATATGTACTTTTTAATACCACTTGTGAAAAGGCTTGTCCCTTTAACAGATTTTTAAAAATTTTTAATTAAAATTTTTTTCCTGGCAGATTTTTAAAGACCAATTGAGTATATATGCATGGGCTCTTTGTTTGTTTGTTTGTTTTTTATCTTTTTGGTAGATGTATCTGGCTTTGAGACATTTCCATACTATTTTGATTACTATGGCTTAATAATAAGTTTTGAAATTAAGAAATGTGAATCCTCTAGCTTTATTTCTCATTTTTGGCTAATTAAGGGCCTGGAACTCAATCAATCTCCCAGGGGGTGGCAGGGATGTGATTACTGAGTCCTCACCTGCTGCCTCTGGAATGCACATCAGCAGAAAGCCGGATCTTAGTGGGGCTGGGATTTAAACCCAAGCACTTCATTGTGGGACATCCCCAAGTGGTGATGTAAGCGACATTTTATATGCCAAATGCCTACTCTGATTTCTTATTCTTGTATCTCTGTCTTGGTGCAATGATTTCAAGAGTACAGGTCCCAGGCACTTAATAGAAATTCAGAATGTTAAGGGTAAATTATCATTGTTATCATATTTCATTGACTCTACCAAGCCTGTGATTTGTGAAGTGCTGTGTATTTTTGCGTACTTTTAAGAAAATACTGCCACTAAAAATTATAAGATATGGAGTGAGTGACTGGCCTAGTGGCTAATATGCCAGTTAAGAGGCTCACATCTAAGGCAAGTGTTGTGCCACAGTGGTTAGGCCAACACTAGCATCCCATGAGTCCAAACTTCCCAACATCCTCTTCCTCTTCTAATTCTAAGTGAAAGAACAAATGAAAGAGCGAAAAAGCACATCTTTTTCATGTATTAGTTCACTTCCCAAATGGCTGCAACAGCCAGAGTTGGACCAGGCTGAAACTAGAAGTTTCTTCCAGGTCTGCCACATGGTTTCACGATCTATTTACTTGGGCCATCTTCTACTGTCTTTCCAGCATATTATTAGGAAGCTAGACTGGATGTGGAGCAGTCAGGACTGGCACTCATATAGGATGCTTGTATCAAAAGCTGAGGCTTAATCTACTAGGACACAATGCCAGCCCCAGGCTGCTCCAATCTTGATCTTGTTCCCTGCTAATGTGCCTGGTAAGGCAGCAGAGAATAGCACAATTACTTGGGCTTCAGAACCCACCTGGAGGACTTATAGGGATCTGGGCTCTTGGCCTCTGCCTGAGCCAGCCTCTGCCTTTGTGGTTGTTTGGGAAGTGAATCAGGAGATAGAAGAGTTCTTTTTTTCTGTCTTTCCCTCTTTCTCTAACTTTGCCTTCTTAATTAATTAATTGAAAAAGCAAGCAGATAAATCATTCAATCGTAAAAAAGAAGGTCATGCCTCGTATTGTTGTGCCTAAGTTTGGTGCCTGGCTCTGGCTGCTGACTCTAGCTTTCCTGTTAACATAGACTTCAGGAAGAAGTGGTAGAAGCCAAAGTAGATTCCTGTTATCTGTGTCACCTGGATTGAGGACCTGGCTTGAGCCAAGCTCGTTGCTTCAGCACTTGTGCTTTGTAGATGGGACATTTGTCAAATGAATAGTAGATGGGTATACTGGCTATCTGTTTGCCTCCCAAATTAAAAAAAATATGCAATAAGTAAAACATTCAGGAATGTTTCTCTGTATCATAAATGGCAATGTGTGAAAAGTGGATGCCTTAGAATCTGTCAAATATGATGCATGTAAGTGAAGTATGCTCCCATCCTACAATATGCAGTGAATGGCCTTGTACTTTTTTGTAATATTAAAAAAAATACAATAAATGAAATAATTCAGTCATTTTTCATGTTGAGAAGCTGATACAATTTTGGTTTTTATCTTGTTTTCTGTTCTCTGTTTGCTGGATGTTAAGTTCAATGAACATTTTAGTGTCTATCTTGTATAAGCATTTTCATAACTGAAACCAATAGTTATTTAGGTTTTACTGTATGCCTGATACTATTTTGAATACCTTATATTCAAATAGTTTATATATTATACATTTAAGATGCATATGGTTATTAACCCCTGCAGCAGAGGAAATTTAGGCACAGAGAAGTTAAAAGACTTTACCCGGGTCGTTACATAGTAAATGGTGGAGCTAGGATTTGTAGGTTATTTGACTGCAGAGGTCAGGCTGTTAGCAGTACCACCAGGCCAATGAAGATGAATAAAATGTGGTTTCTTCAGGCATCAGGTGGTGTATAAAGGTGTGTTGATAAATTTTCATGAAGTTAGTAAGCTATACTTTTGATAATTGATTTGTTTTGTTTTGTTTTTAGGACATTCAGCCAGAAGAAGGCTTCTATTGAGAAAGAGTATGCACAGGTAAGCTTGAAATTTGAGGTCTCCATTCTAGGTGTGCCACTTTTTTCTTGACATAAGGGGCAAATAAAGTTGTTGAAGAAAAGCCTTAGTATCCTCACATTCCCTTTTACTTTTCATTTCCATCTCCTGTTGATCTCTGTTTTATTCCATTGAAGTCACTAAATAAAGGTGACGAGTTAACTCGTTAACCTTCAACAGGAAAACATTATTTACAGTATATGTATTTGTAAGAATGAATGGTTATATACATTATAAGTAGGTAAAAGTTTATGAAAGATTGACTTATTCCATTAAGCACTTAATTTTCATAATGCTGTTGCTGTTGTTAAAATCATATGCTTTCAGTGGATTGAATGGTTAAACATTTCATTCTCTAGTGTTATCTTAAAAATCATTTTCTGCCTTTTTTTTTTTTAAAAAAAAGGCTCATTTATTTATTTGAAAGGCTGAGTTAAATGCAGAGGAAGAGAGAAAAGAGAAACCTACCACTGATTCACTCTCCAAATGGCAGCAACAGCCAGGTCTGAACCAAGCTGGAGTTAGGAACTTCATCCAGTTATCCCACATTGGTTGCAGGGTCTGAAGTACTTGGGCCATCTTTCACTGCTTTCCCAGGTGCGTTAACAGTGAACTGGATCAGAAGTAAACCTCTAGGACTTGAAAGAATGTTCTAATGGGTTGCTAGTATTGCAAATGGCACCTTAATGTGCTGTGTCAAAATGTTGGCCCCAGTTCTTTTCATTTTAATTATAATCTTACTTATGCCCTAATAGCTAAATGTGCCAAGAAAAAATAGTGTTGTTATGTCATTTTATAGATGTGTAAGAACCTCACGTCCGTGCATAGAAATAGTTTAATAGAATTTAGAAAGTTTGATCCTTTTTGAGGAGCACCTGTCTGTATGGAGTAGAAATCTAAACTTATTCCTTCTAACATACCCAATTGTAAAAAAAGGCATTATTGTGGGGCCAGCATTTTGGCTAAACAGATTAAGCTGCTGCCTGCATCGCCAACATCCCATATTGACACTGGTTTGAATCCTGGCTGCTTCCATTTCAGCTTCCTACCAGTACAACTAGAAAGATAGGGGAAGGTAGTCCAAGTCCCTGGGCTTTGCACCTTCATGGCAGTTCTAGATGAAGTTCATTTGATGAGTGAACCAGAGGATTGGAGATCTCTCTCTCTCTGGCATTTTGTGTTTCTGCCTTTTAAATAAGTACGTAGATCTTAAAGATGTTCTTGTAGCAAAATTTGGAAATAAAGAAATTTAGAAAAATATTATGTAGTGAGAACTGTGCATGAGAAACACTATTATTGTGTTACTGATGTTTCTTACAAGAATGAGATGCAGATCTGGTTTTCTGTTTTATGCTTTGTCACATGTTAGTTTTATTCTAATTTTATAAAATTTGATGAATGGCTGTCTATTTATGATTTGCTATCTTTAGAAGAGAATCATTTTCTCCTTGAACTCCAAATTGAACTTGCTACTTCAGTTATTGAGTGTATCTAATATTATTACTTCTTTAAATATTGACTAGCATGAGTTCCAGTGTTTGTGCTGAAATTTTTCATCATGCATATATAGTGTTAGTAATGATAGATAATATTTATTGACTCCTTTGTACTATACTCTGTATTTATTTTGCATTTGTTATTTGACTTAATCCTCTCAATTTTGTACTTTGAGAACAGCTTTTATATATATATTTTTATACATGTAAATAAATGGTATATGTTGATATTCAGAAATAAGAAGTCTATGATTTCTTTTAAAAGACTAGAAAATAAAGTTTTACAAGATAGATTCTTGTGTAACAAATTTAAAGTTTTAGTCATCAAGTAAATAGGGCATGTTCTTGATTAAAATGTAAAATAGTACTTTAAATAATATAAAAACCAATTGTCCTTTATTCATCTCCTGGTTGTCTTCATCAAAGGAACAATTAAAAATAAATGTTTGCTTTTGTTCTTCTGGTTATTATTTCCATGTCCTTAAATAACATAACCGATTCTTGATTTATTAACTATAGAAATTATTATTTGGTTGCTTACAGTAAATGAGAAATTGATTTATCATACCATCATACCATACAGCCTGCTCTGTAGTTGTGGCATTTTTTTTAAGATTTATTTTTCATTGGAAAGTCAGATTTACAGAGAGAAGGAGAAACAGAGAGAAAGATCCTCCATCTTCTGGTTCACTCCCCAAGTGGTCACAACAGCCAGAGCTGAGGTGATTGGAAACCAGGAGCCAAAAACTTCTGCCGGGTGCAGGGTCCCAGGGCTTTGGGCCATCCTCGGCTGCTTTCCCAGGTGACAGGAGAGGAGCTGGAAGGGAAGTGGAGTAGCCTGGACACAAACTGGCTCCCATATGAAATCCTGGCTCATGTAAGGCAAGGACTTTAACTCCAAGGCTACCACTCTGGGCCCTGTGGCATGTTTTTGTACCTTTATTACTTTTCTCAGTCCAGATGATGTGTTTAAACTTCCTTTTTAAATGTTTTTTCTTTGTATACATGTACATATATGTGTGTGTACATAGAACAGTAGAGTTATATTTTACTGAGCCGTCCAGTTTATCCTTGAAAAAAATCTCTAGTCTTTCAAGAGTATTCCCTTTCTGGATAAATATTATATAACAATATACAAGATATCTTCAGAAGTTCATAAGGCAATCATATGTAAAATGTAAAGTTAAAATGTTTCTGTGTCTCTCTGCTTGAGATAGTTGATTTGACTAAGAAACACTCTTTTTTTTCAGTAGTGGAGAAAGTCCTGAAAGAGCTGATACATTTTTTTTTTCTATAGATTTTCTCAATCTGTGTTGATTATATTAGGCCCGTTTGAATGCCCTACATGAGGTTTTACTCTTGTTGGTAAAAGGGCTTTACATTATATTTTCTTTTTTTTTTAAGATTTATTTATTTATTTTTATTACAAAGTCAGATATACATTATATTTTCCTTCTTTGTCTTTGTGTAGAGTTAGCATTCTGGGAGACAATTTATTTTAATTTAAATTATATGCTGAAATAGACAAATCTTGAGTGTACATTTGATGAATTTTTGTGACCATACTTATATAAGTAATACTCAGGTTAAAAAGGTAGAACATTACTAAAACCTCCAAGCCAATCAATATATGTACATTTCAGTGATAACCAGCACTTTTTTTAGAAGAGTTATTATCTTTGGATGTCTCATGCTTTTTCTTTTTTAACTTAAATGATGTCAGTAGTATGTACATTTCAGATTATTATTTACTCTGTAGTGTTCACTGAATAAATGTATCAATTTGTTTTTTGAGTTTACTAATGGTGGAAATTTGAGCTGTTAAGAATTTTAGGTGACTTTGATTTAATCTTTTTAAACAAAAGTTTTTACCTGTATCTTTTGGTGGATCTATAGACATATTTATATTTGTTATAAATGTAGGAATAGTACTGTTGGCCATTGAGTATGTATATCTTCTACTTTATAAAGTATAGCCAGTTTTTCAAAGTGATTATTTACACTCTGACCAGCAATGTGTAATTCCAGTTGCACTGGACATAGACTGTTATTTTGATAAGTGTATTGTAGTATCTCATTTTATTTTAATAAGGCTTTAACAAAATGGCTTACATATGCAGGAAAGTATGCAGGTTGTGTATAGCCCCATGAATCTTCAAAGTTAGCCTATCAGTGAAACTAGTATTGAGGTCTAGGAAGCAGAGCGTTAACAACATCCCAGAAATTCCTTGGTTTACTATGTTTCTTTACTGTCCTACTGTCATGCATGCTTTCTTGCATTAAAAAAAAAAAACAGCTTTATTGGCATGCAATTGACCCATGATCCAGTGCACAGTATATAATTTGGTAGTCCTTGAAGGCTTGTGAACACATTTGTAATTTCCCAATGTTTTCTTGTGTGCCTTCCATCCACACTTTGAAGCAATCCTTTTCTCCGTTGTTCGCAAATAATGTTAGAATTTTACTTTAATAAGTGGAATAGTATATTGGGTGCTCTCTTTACTTGTCATTCAAAATAATTATTTTACGATTTAGGTATGTTATTTGTGTATCAGTATTTCTGATTCATGAGCATCTTTAATTTTTTTGAGTTTTCTATAATTCAAATGTTTCTGCTTGTTTTTATTTATCTGAAAGGCAGAGTCAGATAGTTCCCATCTAGGTTTCCTGTATGGTGTCAGGGACCCAACTGCTTGATCTATCTGCCAAGATACACATTAGTGGAGAGCTGAAGTCCAGTACATAGCCCGGACTGAATCTGGATTCTCTAATAAGGGATGAAGGCATTTTAACTGTGTAACTGTTCACTTCTATTGTTTGTTTGTTTTTTCTTAATTTATGTATTTGAAAGGCAGGCCAGCAAACTTTCTCTCTCTCTTGCCCCATGTCAGTTTGGTGGCATTTTGACAAATTGTATCTTAGGCACTTGCAAAGTGAAGTTGTAAATTGCTTTAGGGAAATGTTAGAAAACAGAAAAAAATTAATACTGCTGAACCTTGCTTACACTTGAGGAGACTTGAGCAGTGCGCTTTTTCTAAGTTGTTTGGCAATTTCAATTTCCTGGAAGTTTTACTAATGCTTGATTTTTAAGCATGACGTATGAAGTTAACATAAAAAAATAAAAGATGTACTACATATCTGTTTATACAAGCAGCAAAATGAATCCCTGAAAACACAGAAATCATGCAGGACTCACTAAACAGCATTAAATATTAGGGCAAAATTCAAGTTATCTTCTTACTGCTGTTAGCTAACAGCTGAGGTGTTGGTAAAATCATTTGCAGTCCTCAAGCTGAAATTGCTACAGGCAAGTTCTGTGTACTAATGTACTTCCTGTAGTGTTTGGCAGAATGTTGCTAGAGAATCGAGGATACAAAAGGCTACTTGTGACTAGAGAGAAAGAGCAGGAAAAGAGTGTGGACTTTAAGGGAGGCTCCTTGCCTGAGGACAAGCACAGAGTAAATACAGACAGGATAGCAGATGCAC